AGCCCCATATACCGGAGGTGGCGGGTTCAAACCCGGTCCGGCCAAAAACTGCAAAAAAAAAAAAAAAAAAGACTGATATGCCAAAGTTGGGAAACAAGCCAATCTCAGAGGTCCCCATTGCCTGTGGGCTCCTGCAGGTTGCTGGTGGCAATTGGTGCCTTGGTCCTGCTGTGTGGCCTGACTTCCCTGTGCTTCCGCTGCTGCTGTCTGAGTCGCCAGCAAAATGGGGAAGAAGGAGGCCCACCACCCTATGAAGTGACCGTCATCTCTTTCGATCATGACAGCACTCTGCAGAGTACTATCACGTGTGAGTACACCAGCCTTATAGCATAGGAGAGGGACCCAGATTTAAAATGAATGATTAGGGGGGTATTGAAGTGATATTGACAATGTCAGGACTCACTTCCAGAAGCCTCATGATGCAGTGACCTGGGGCTCTCACCGATGCTCCTTGCTCAAATATTTGTCTCGCTGATGATAGAGTGAAAAAAAGGAGTGAAATATTAGAGACAACATTGGAAATGTTTTGTAGAAAGAATTACCCAGCGTGTAAACAATCATTCTGTTAAAAACTATTTTAAATTCTGAGCATAACTCTTTTTCAAAATGTCTTGGAGTTTGTGAGAACCTACATTTTCTATTATCTGCACTATTTTATCTTTTTATTTATTCATTTATATTTTTTGAGACATAGTTTTAAGTTATCACCGGGGGCAGAGTGCGATGGTGTCACAGCTCACAGTAACATCAAACTCTTGGGCTCAAGCAATCCTCTTGCCTCAGTTTTTCTATTTCTAGTAGAGATGGGGATCCTGCTTTTGCTCAGGCTGGTCTTGAACCTGTGAACTCAGGCAATCCACCTGCCTCTGCCTCCCAGAGGGCTAGGATTACAGGCACGAACCACTGCGCCCAGCCCCTATTTTATATTTTTAAATAAATCAGTGGTGATGTGTACTTTGAGTTCTTTATTCTTCTAGTCTTGATACACCAGATTTTTTTTTTTTTTTTTTTTTT